TAAGTAGCGTCTAAACTACCGCATCTCCAACATTTAGGCTGTAAATTAGGATACATACAAGACAACTTTTTAGGATCCAGATGCCATCTATAAAACATTTTATAGAAATTTTCTCTTAAGTTCTGGGCCTGGGTAAACTTTACATTTCTGACCCATATTATCTCCCACATATCCAATGGAATCGGTTCTTGAATATTTTGAGCCCATTTTACCATACAATCTTTAACTAATTCCGTTTCTGAGTCCATTTCTATTAAAACATTATAAATCCTCTTTATATGTGCTTGATTTGAATCTTTAATCTGTCCTTGGTTGTCTTTATTTAAACATGCTTTGTGAGAAATGTTGAAAAAGATTCATGTGAGCTAATGTAAACAGGAAATATTAGAATATATAGCATTATTTCTTCTTTCATAAGTAGAATTCTTTTCCAAAATCAGACAGAAATCTGATGTAAAATGAAAACAGAAACATTTATTTATTTGGATTCATAATTTCCTTCTCTAGTTGTTGGCAAAATCATAGTAACATACACTAAGCCAGATGGAATAAAGCAAAATCCATTTTAATTAGGAACAATAGGTTTAATTTAGCAAGGCATTTCCTTTGTCTTGGGTATTAGTTCCAGAGATTGTAGGTTTGCCTGGTTGAATCTGTTTCTCTTCTGCAGGTCCCTTTCACCCCCTCTGAACCTCCGCACATCCACTCTGCTGAGGACTATGAGTATGGAAAGCTACATAAACACTTAGCAATTCAATATTTTTGCTCTTTGAAAGCATAGAAACTTGGATGGGGAGAATGGGAAATAGCATCCTTCCTTGCAAGGATCCTGAAAGACTGTCATTAGACTTTCAAATGTGGTAACTGTAGGATACCCCGGAGAAGAGTTGCCAAGGCCACACATCTTGAAACGTCATAAATTTTTCATGGGCACTCAGAGAAATAGTGCAGTATTGCTCTCTCAGAAGTGCTAAAGTATCTAGGATCAAATAGGCAGCTGGCTATTTTGGCATAAGTAGATGTTTTGACCTTTGAAACAATAACAGTGCCTGGGATTTCTGACCCTAAAATTGTATTATCTGTACTCTAATGTAAACCCATATCAGGGAATAACTATTGGAAAATACTGATAATTTGCTGTTAGCAATAACAACAGTGGGTGCATTACTTTTCATTAAATGAACATCCAAACTCATCAGAGTTTCCCCCAAAAAACACATTATTGATTAGATGATACATTATTTGTATGTGTTTCTGGATGTAGTACTTATCAGCTGTGCTAAGTGGTTATATTTGCCAATGCCTTTGTCATTAATGCGAATGATGTAACTGTTCCAGAAAGTGGTGATAAATTGAGTAAATTGCAGTGCAGTGAAATAAAGGAACCAGGCAGGAGTGTCTGCTGCAGGTTAAAAAAAAACTCAGGCTGATGGTCACATCATAGGATTTTGATCATATGGTTATGACCACTATTTTGTATTTTTTTATTTCCTCCCTCCCTGCAGACATTCCTGCAGGTTTTCAGAAATGTGAGAATCAAATTATTTTAATTGATAATGTATGGTACTACTCTAAAGGCTTTGAATTTAGAGAAAGTAGCATCATCTCATATAATATGTATTTCCTGTATAGGTTTAATTATGCTAAACCTGTGTTGTTTTTCTGTGTCATATAATATATGTGGGTATATGCACAATTCTGTATTTATTTATTATGGTCATATTTATATAGTATATATTGGAGGTGGTGACTCTTTGAGAGCTGTATGCAACGGAATTTCATTTTAATGTATGCTGATTAGTGTACAGTTATAGTTACAATAAAGTTATTATTCTATTATATTTCTGTTCTATTCTATTACTAATATAAGGATTAATTTTTTAAAAGAAGTAAATGCTTTTCTAAATAAACAGACTTCAGCATATTTAAAATAAAATAGAAACAAGCTAGAGATTCTAAAATGAGCTTAAAGTGACATCTATATATTTACTGTTCTCAAGCTGCATATATATTACCTTCTCCCCAGAAAGCAGATACTCAAAATATTTCTATATAGAAAGCTTTGTAAATTTTGTTGATATTTCCACTAAATGTCCACAAACAAGTGAAGTACAAAAGAAGTGTAAAAATTGATTCAAAATTTTGAAAAGCCAGCATGGAAAATATGGAGCAATGGCAAATTAAGCATTCCAATAATTTTCATGTTATTGGCATGTTTTGGCATTTCCTAACTATCTTACTATTTCTTCTCTTAATATTTCATTGAGACAACTGTCTGGCATATATATCAAATTGATGAGATAATTGAGATGATTAAGCTTTTTTTTTTATGGATTAGATCCGAGATGGTGACACTGTGATGGCTCCCATAATCAACAAATTCTGTGGAAGTATGCTTCCTTCTGCAATCACTTCCAATCAAAACAGTCTCTGGATCAAGTTCAAATCTGATATTTCAGTTAATACTTCTAATTTCAGGGCCACTTATGAAGTTGGTAAGTGAAACAACCAACTTAAGGTAAGGTACCAACTTTCATAAAGTTCTATGGTTTCCACTGACTTCATGGTCAAACTATGGTGTAAATTCTGTACACTATTGTAAATGGACCAAAAATGGAAACCTTGATGATCTTAGAGAAGGTGACATCATTTTCTTTCAATCTCATCCATTGCTGTCTTAAAGCAGTTTAGCTTATAATATGTTGTTTTACTGGTCATAATAGCAGATATTTTAGAGGATAGCAGATATTTTAGAGGACAGTAATCTTGCCATATTTCAGTCAGATTCCTCTAAAGATCTGACTGCAATACTTTTTTTCATTAATCCCACTTTCCTCAATTTTAAGTAGGCAATAGCAGAGATGAGGAAAAGCTGCAACAGTGGCCTTCAAGCAGCAGAAAACCTGTAGATAAATTATTCTGATTAAGTTCCAAATTCTCCCTTATAAATACAGTTGCTCGAACTTGGATATTGTTCAAAAAGTAAGCACTTTTTAAAAAAATCAGCCAGTTAGTCATTTCATAGACCAATCTAGCTCCACTTATGCAATAGTTCTCTTATAGTTAAATGTGGGACAGAGGGTAAGGGTATGTGCACCATAACTGATCTTTAGTGCTTAGAAGTAGTGAAAAAAGTGAGAATTAGAGCAAATTAAATTTATTTCATGAAGTGAATGACTTCATGCATACCGTGTTTCCCCAAAAGTAAGATCTACCCTGAAAATAAGCCCTAGCTTGATTTTTTTGGGGTGGGCCAAATATAAGCCCCATCCCAAAAAATAAGCCCTAATTTTGGGGCAAGACACACACCTAAAAATCAAGCTAGGACGGGGGTGTGGGATGTGGAGCTGCTCCATGCGCCCCACACCCACTTACCTTGCAGCCAGGCCTCTCCTTGCTGGCCCACTTCTTCTGCGGCATCCCCAGGCCTGCATTGTGCAGTCAGAGGTCTTTCCACTACAACCAAGAACCAAGCTATGATTCAATCCATAACTCAGTTCTGCAAGACCTCTGCAGTCGAGAACTCAGCTATGGATTGAAGCTCGGCTGCAAAGGCCTTCCGGAAAGGCCTTTGACTGCGAAATGTAGGCCAGAGCTTCCTTCTCAGCTGCAGAATGAAATTGCTCCTTCGGCCACAGAAGAAGTGGGCCAGCGGGCAGGGCTGTCGGTGCCAGAGATGAGTGGAAAAGACATACCCCCACAAATAAAACCTGGTTCCGCTTTTGGAGAGGCAAAAAAAAAAAAAAGACCAGGTCTTATTTTCGGGAAAACATGGTAGGTGAAATATTGGAGTTCCATTGTAAGCAAGAAAGGCATAGAAGAAGAATCTGAAGCTTGCAATTAGTCATTGCTTAATTTAAATAACACTTCTAAATTTCAGTGACCCCATCTTATTGTTATCAGTATCAAAATGATATATTGTCTATAATAACCTCTCAAATAGCAAGATAATTTTTGAATCAGTGAAGCTCTTTGTAGTACCTGACCTAATTCACTGCTTTGAAGTGGGTTCCCTCTGCAAGCTGTGATTTTTGCTTCAAAATTTCATCAAATAGAAATAGCTTTTCAATTTTTTACACAGGTCTAAGTTGTAATGTTAAATGATACTGAAGAACAATCTATAAAGGTACTACTGTATATGGAATAAATAATCATATCCATGTCAGTCAACATTCTACAAAATGTTTGTCAATATTCGTTACTAAACTAATTCTCCATTTCTCTTGGCAGCTTGTGGAGGACCCTTGTCTGGTGAAGGGGTCATCAGATCTCCCTACTTTACCAGATCATTGCCAAAGGGCCATATATGTGAATGGATCATAACTGAACCTGAAGACAATATTGTGATTCTTAATTTCACTGATTTTCGTATCTATAATGTTACTACTTGCAATTCAGATTATGTAGAGGTAATTTTTTTTAAAGGAAATTAATCTGAAAACCAAACATTTCAAAGGCCATGGATATGACTAGCAGTATCCCTTCAAAAAATTACTCACGTTTAATTTATACACCATAAGAATCCAAAATCTCCATACGTTACCAGTGAAATACAATGTTTATCATGACAGAAAGGGAAAAAATAAACTCTATTTAGTTAACTTAATTTTAATGAAATTTAAAATAATCAATTTTGGGTTTTGTCATTTTGATCCTTGACTCAAAGATCAAATGTAATGCTTGGCTTGAAAAATTGAAATATGCAGAAACTCTATCATATATCCTATGTAATTTTTATCAAGGTTAGATTGATCTCATAATTCTAAAATATTTGCTGGCACGGAAATTGGTGGGATTCATACTTTGAGAATACCTACTTAGAACTGAAAGGCAATGTGGGTTTATACATTATTGTAAACTGTATTCAGTAGACTATCAGTCTAATAAGCAATTACAAGAATTGTTTTTGGTAATAACTTTAGACAATGGTATTGTAGCTGATGAGGTAGAATTACTTAAATACTTTGTAATAAAACAAGAAGTATGGGAATTTGCACTTTTCAAAATAATATGTAGAATAAAACATCTATGTTGTTTTTACAATATATCACACTAGATCTTACAAAGTAGAATATGGCCAAGGAACAGAAAAGTTTCAGATAAGGCAGGAGAACATGGAATCAGACAGATAACCTCAGATGGGTAATAGAGAGTGCAAGCAAAGATAAGGAGCAATAAAACAATAAACCTTTGCTTTATTAATTGAGCAAGATCTTTTCTTGCATGATGCCAGAATGTGGAATATATTAAGGCTAATAATATTCTAGGCATCCTAGAATATCAGATTATTCTTTTAAGGAATCTTTACAGTGAAACAGAAACGATGACGGGAATTGATTTGAAAGAAAAACAGAGTGCTTCAGAATAGAAATCGGGATTAAGGGGAAGAGAAGATGTGGGAGATGCTAGGTTGAGCCTGAGGGAGGGATCAAGTGTGTTGTAACTTACAAGTACTTGGCCCTACAAGAGATCTGATCTCTTGCTCATTTCTCTTGTCCTTTAGTTGATCAGATTCTTGTAGAGAGTTTAACCTTGCAATAAATCTTTATACTCATTTGAATTGCCTGAATCTCCTAATTTCCCTGGCACTTGACAGAAGAGAGGACAGGAGATTGAAACATTAGCATTTGGAGATATGTAGATTGACAATGCTTGGTTAAACTGAAATATGGGAGATTAGAAGCATTTGTTATGAAAGTGGAAAATGAAAAACAAAGAACAGGATTAGTAATAAATATTCGGAAGATAATGATAATGCCTACCTGCATGATTAGTGAATTTACACTTGACAATGTAGCTGTAGATAGTTCTGTTATATTGGGCTCAAAAAACAGTTAAAAACTGACAGTGTGCTAAAGAAAGTAAGGGAAGATTCATTTTTGAGTGCAATTCAAGGAAAAACATAAATAGAATCATGAAGAATAAGGATATTTCTATGATGCAAAGTTCAGAAAAGTTAAAATTATACATTGTACAAGTGAGAGAAATAAAATACTTGCCTACACATTTTGTACCTGGGGATCGTTATTAAAAATATTAAGACTGCAAAAGGAGCCATTATTTGATCTTGGTTCCATTAAAGATTGACTTTTGGGGAAATGATTGGCAAGCAGAATTGCATCTATTTTTGCCATGTGATGTTTAGTTATGCTTGACAAGAATGAAGAAAATAAAAGAAGGGAAGGACAAAGTGGATGGATGGGATTCAAGAGAAAATTATCACTGGGAGAACTAAGGACAACGAAGTTACTACTTAGATAGATTAAAATCATTAGCATTGTCCATGCTGAAGTCACCAAAGTTGAACCTTGCTCAATAGCACTAAGTCACATTAGGACAGACATGTCAAACTCGTGATGTCATGTGATGTCACGCAACGTATCAGGACAGTTTTGCCATTGCCGGCAATGGGGTGAGCGTGGCTTCTGCATGATGCCTCCGGCCCGCGGGCTGGCAGTTTGACACCCCTGCATTAGGATATTTGTATTACAAGAAAATAATTTATAATAGTGGCGAATATCTGTAGCTCGGATGTAGGATGAGGGTTGAGGTTCACTCTCTGAGTTTGTGGGTTGGTTTCTAAACATTTCATTACCAGGCTAGGTAACATCTTCAGCAGAATTTAGGGGATGGAAGATGTTACCTAGCCTGGTAGCGAAATGTTCGGAAACCAGCTCACAAGCTCTGAGAACAATCCTCCATTCTTAAGAAAACGATTGCACAAATGGTTCCACTAACCCAATTTTATCAAAATGTCTATATGGTCACTCGCCTATTCTGTATGAGAAAACTTTTCTTATATAGAAAGGTGAGTAAAAATGATATTAATTTTCAAAAATGTCTTTAAAAAGTGATAGGGAAATTGGACAAAAGTAGTCTAAAACAGAATAGAGGACAATTTTCTTTCCCTATCCAAAGTCTTGACATGAATGACTCCCTGTATTATATGTGTTTAGCTTATAGGTATTTTCACAGGATTGAACTTTTTTCTTTTGCAGATTAGAAATGGCGGCAATGCAAATTCTCCTTCTCTGGGAAAATACTGTGGGACAACAATACCACCAGTGATTCATTCAAGACATAACTCACTTTATATAAAATTCAGAGCTTCATCTACTACAAATCTTGGTTTCATGGCTGAATACAAACCTTTTGATATAGGTAAATTCTGGTCGCTCGCCAACTCTCCCTTCCTCTTGAATTTGTTCCTCAATTATTAAGCAAAATGTAGTAAAGCATATCAATTAAATGTACATGTATTTAATGCTGGGTGAGAGAATCTGATGCATTGCAGATTTCACATTCCTCACCTTTGATCGTGTCATCTGGAGCTTTTATTTCATCAACCACATAAGCCAACATTATAAGACTATAAATTAATATGCATTAATTACATTTCTTATGTAATGCTATGCATATTTAGTTATCAGTAACACCCACTGAGTTTAGATAGAGATAAGGGTGCATCATTGAAGATTAGGATAGATGAAAGTGCTGTAGTCAACCTAGATCTATGTAAAGCTTTTATAGTTCCATTGTTATATTCTTTTTCATTAATATGATGGGGACTTTCTTTCCATATGCTATAGCATGCGGAGGGATTCTCACAGAGCCTAATGGGATTCTTGCAAGCCCTGGTTATCTCAACATTTACCCACATGGTGTCAGATGCTTATGGACTATAACAGTGCAACCGGGATATTTAATACATCTGACCTTCACTTATTTTTCCTTGGAATTTGATTACAATTGCAATAGAGATTATCTTGACATCTATGACAACAGCACCATGACAAAAATAGGGCGGTAAGTTGTCTGACTGTCGGTCTATATGTCTATTTATGCTGGTCTGCATTTTTAAATACATTTTATTAGACCTAAATCCTATTGTGTTTTGTGGGATTTCTTTTGTATAGGTAGCTCTTAATCTTTATCACAATAAGGTGTACTGTTCCTGGTTTGAAGTTATCTTTATAATTTGTTGCATTTCAAAGCTTTAAAAGTCCACCATATCATGCGCTGCCTCCATCTAATTAAAGGTATGCAACAGGGGAAAAGTTTTTTCTCCCTTGAAGAAAAAATATATGGTGGGCAGTGCTGAACCTCAGTGTATCTAATCCTGTTTGAACCAGCTCTCACCAATCTGTACTAATCAGAAACTAGTTTGGCTAAAGATCAGTTAGAAGTCAGGTTACCTGGCTATAAAGATAAGAATCATTCAATTGCTAGCAAAATATTAGGAAATCTGTTGTCTAGGCTACAGTCATTAAAATCTGACATTCAGCACTGCCCAACAGATACAAGATACTCCGCACAAGAATATATGGTTTCCAATGTATCTTCTCCATTGAGCAATGTTTGATACCAGGGATGCTGCTCCTGAAACCATTCATCTTGTTGACTAGATCAAGCTCCCACCCATATATATACTGTAAATGCTGAATTTGAAATCTATGAGCACAAGAAAATAAATTAAACATGTCCTTGTTATTATTGATTTGATATAGGTACTGTGGCAGGTCCATTCCACCATCTATTACTAGTAGTGGCAACACTGTAACTTTGCATTTTGTGACAAATCGCAACATTGCATCTGAGGGATTCTCAGTTAATTATGCTTCACTGAATGCATCTACAGGTATGACATTAAAAGTTTCACTTGAATTTCAAAATTAATTTCTCTACTTTCGTTTGTATTGAAAACTGGATCACAGAATTCTGAATAGTGTGAATTTGTACCTGAAAGAATATTCAAATTCATCTGTACTATAGGAAACTGCTAAAATGGAGAAATACATAAAAACGTTTAGACGTAATTAATTTCTCACCCATCCCTATTCATTTCTTAGTAATCTATAATGGGTGTATATATTAAAACATATTAATTTCCTGAACCTTTGGTACAGTTTTGAACATTAAAGCAAATCATAACATGAGGACATTGGTTTGAAAAAAAATGTTTCATGCAAACCTAATTACTTTGAATGAAATTATGGAACTTTACTATATAAGTTTCTCCTTTCCTAATTTAGCTAGAAGGTGGGTAAGACTAGATTGAAAATGAGAAATTTGTAATCTGGTTGATATATTATACAGTCATCTGGTTCATTAACTACAGTTTGTCAACTAAGCCATAAACCATACTTCACAAATCAAGTGGCCAGGTTCATATAATATATTAAGCCAAATCAGATAAATTATATTACAAATTAGTGAAATACTGGAATCTATTCAATATTTCACAAAGATGAATTCCTTCAGATTATGGTAGAAGGAGAACCTGAGATCTGTACAGACTTTTGATTCTTTCTGTTGAATAGAATGCTGGAAAGGAATTGCGTAAATGGAATCAACACTGCCCATCAGCACAATATTTTTTAAAAATAATTGATAGGTTGGGACTAAAATTTCTTTGGGGAGACACTAGAAAAAGAAAGTTTGGAAATGGGCTGGATTCATCTAGGTAGGAGCTATGCAGAAAAAAAATCAAGAAGAAGAAAACCCTATCAATTCATCCTAGGCAGTGATAGGAATGTTGTCAGTTCCTGCATTTTTAACACTCTTCCCTTTTCCATTCACATGATCCAGAAGACAGGTATTTTAAAGAGATAGAAAAAAAATTAAGGAAGCTGTGTATGCAACCTTTCTCTGATTTTATACAATATCTGTATGAGTGTGAGGTTTTGGAAGACAAAACAGATAGTTTTATCCCGTTCCCTTCAGCTTTTTTATATTTCTTCCCTTTTTGAGAAGGAAGACATTGCTGAATATCAATTCAACCAATCTATTTAGATTTTTTTTGGGGGGGAATTGCATTCATCTATAGCTAATGGAGAATATTTGTGCAATTACCAGGATCTAAACCAAATTGATGGCACCAAATTAACTAAATGATTTGCAACTATGGCAGACAAAAAGAAGTGTTATTGATAGTTATTGGCACTCTGGGCAAAGCGGTTATGGCTGAAAGCCATAGCATGAATAGTTGCTTATGTAACTTTCAAACAACAGAGGTGTATTTTACATTTCCTTTCTCTGAGCATACTCAAGATTCAATGGGTCTTTCAGGAAATAACAGGTTCCTCTGAACTGATAGCTCTGGAATAATATTTACTGAAAATCTGGCAGTTATGAATGAGTTAGGAAATGAAAGCATACCAAAGCAGATGAGTAACTAAAATAAAACAGAAACAGAACAAAACCTCGTCTAGAAATCCATTTTTACCAAAGTTGTTATACCAAACAAAATCAGATGTCAACTTTTATTAAAATAAATATTTATTTAGCACTTCAACTTGGAAGAAGCTGGCCTCCTTACTTTATAATAATATGTAGTCTGACCCTGTATGCTTTAAGGCCTACATAACTTGGATTCATTGGTGTGGTCCATGCTATGGCCTTACAACAGAAGAATGCTGCTTGCAATATGGTAAGCCAGAGGTAGAGAACTATGTTTTTTCTAAATATTGCTGAAATACAGCATCCTTCTCTTTTCACTGGCTGGGGCTGATGAATATGTTATCTAGTAAATTCTAGAAGGCCAGCAGTTCCTTACTCACATGATAAAGAAACAGTTCTTTTTGTTGGAATGGTTAACAGTCATTCTTACATATTCATTCTTTTTTTGTTGTTTCTCTGCCTACTCATTTGTATGCTATGGTATCCTGCTTTTTTCTGGGAAAATGCCATTTTCTTCTCTATTTTCCTTTTTTGCCCTATCTCTGCAGCTGCTTCTGACTAGAGAAGAATTTTATTGCAAATAAAATTGAACCCATATAGAACAGTGGTTTACTGCTACTGCCAACTGTCAGTCAGACTGTACAAATGATTTTTATACCTATGATGGTTTAATCGTGTAGCTTCTTTCTGTCAACCTTTCTATGTGTTAACAAGCTATTGGCATGGTACTTAGTGACTCTGAAGTATATTTTTGTAACTGCCATCCCTGCCATGAAAACATTTGCCTCCCTCCTCAGTCTTCACAAATCCAGTTAGGTATCATTAAATTAGTTATAACAGAGCAGAATCTGATCTGGATCTCTGATCCTCTAGCCTTAATTGCTACATCTGGAGGTTTTGTTCAAAGTGAGGCTAATTCTGTATATCTCTATTTATATCATTTCTAAACATTTATGAGGGCTAAAAAGAATCAAGGGTTGCTAATTTGTGTACAGATACACACACACACACACACACACACACACACACACACACACACACACACACACACACACACACACACACACANATATATATATATATATATATATATATATATATATATATATATATATATATATATATATATATATATATATATATACTTGATCCAACCACTTCGTTCTTTGTCTCTGGCAAACCAATATTCTGAAGTATTAGAAACAGGATTGTAAGAGATCCTGGAAATCTTCTAGTCCAATTCCCTACCTAGATCAGGAATCCTCGGAGCATACTAGACAAATGGTTACCCAACTTTATTTATAAAAACATCCAGTGATACAGGCACTTATGGCTCCAGAAAACAGGTTGTTCTACTGTTTCATAACACTTACCATGAAATTTCTCCTTACTTTGTCTTTGGATCTTTCTTTGTAAAGCTTCTTCCCATAGGTTTTTGTCCTACCCTCAGGCACTACTGAGAACACAAGTTGTCCTCATTAAGTGAGATCCTCACTTAATGACCACTTGTTCAGCGATCATTTGTACAATGGCACTGAGTGAGTTGAAGTTCTGGCCTTTGCAGCATCCCCTTAGTCATGTGATTGAGAGCTGGGAGCTTAGCACCTGACTCACAATTATAACATTGTAGCATCCTGCAATCACATGATCACCATTTGCAACCATAGCTGACAACCAAAGTCAGTGGGAAAGCCGGTCCAAATTGCCATTGATAACAGAGAACTACCTGTAAATCTGTCTTCCTATGGAACTATAAATTTCAGCATTGGGACAGTGCTGTTAAATCTCCCCTTAGCCTTGTTTCCACACTAAAGATAGCCAATTCTTTTAACCATTTTTCATAAAAGTCTGGGTCCATGCCTTTCACCATTTTGGATGTTTTTCTCTCTCCTTTCTAAATCTTCAGCAACCTTCTTGTACTGAACTTAGTATTCCAGGTGCAGTCTGACTGTTACAGGGTAGTACAGAATTATCAGCCAATTTTGTGATCTCAACACTGTATCTTATAATAATAATAATAATAAAGTTGGAAGGGACCTTGGAGGTCATTGAGTCCAACCCCCTGCTCAGGCAGGAAATCCTACACCATTTCGGACAAATGGCTGTCCAGTCTCTTCTTAAAAACTTCCAGTGTTGGAGCATTCACCGCTTCTGGAGGCAAGTTGTTCCATTGGTTAATTGTTCTAACTGTCAGGAAGTTTCTCCTTAGTTCTAAGTTGCTTCTATCCTTGATCAGTTTCCACCCGTTGCTTCTCGTCCTGTCTTCAGGCGCCTTGGAGAATAGCTTGACTCCCTCTTCTTTGTGGCAGCCCCTGAGATATTGGAACACTGCTATCATGTCCCCCCTCGTCCTTCTCTTCGTTAAACTAGACATACCCAATTCCAGCAACCGTTCCTTATATGTTTTAGCCTCCAGTCCCCTAATCATCTTTGTTGCTCTTCTCTGTACTCTTTCTAGAGTCTCAGCATCTTTTTTACATCGTGGTGACCAAAACTGGATGCAGTATTCCAAGTGTGGCCTTACTAAGGCATTGTAAAGTGGTATTAATACTTCACTGATCTTGATTCTATCCCTCTGATTCTATCCCTCTGTTAATGTAGCCCAGCACTGTGTTGGCTTTTTTGGCAGCTGCAGCACACTGCTGGCTCATATTTAAGTGATTGTCCACTAGGACTCCAAAGTCCCTCTCACAGTTACTACTATTGAGCAAGGTACCCCCTATACTATACCTGTACATTTGGTTTTTCTTACCTAAATGTAGAACCTTGCTTTTTTCACCATTGAATTTTATTTTGTTAGATAGCGCCCAATATGGGACTGATTCTTTTTGCAGTTCCTCCTTCCGTTATATATTCAAGATGGACAATATTTAATATTTATTGCTACGTATATGTAGGGATGTGGGTCTATACATATGTTGTTCATAGTATGTTTAGGTGTGTGTCATGTATGTGTTTCACTTTGAGAGCGGGCAACTAAATTTAATTTTTATGTGTGCCATTATGCCCACACTATAAAAATGACAATAAAGTTTATCTTATCTTATCTTATCTTATCTTATCTTATCTTATCTTATCTTATCTTATCTTATCTTATCTTATCTTATCTTATCTTATCTTATAGCACAATTAGTATCTCATGCTCAAATCTATGGTTTACCAGGTCACCCCAATCCTGCACACACAAACTACAGCCATTTTAACTAAATTTGGTAAACCAAGTGCTTAGCCTTTAATAGATATGAAATCATTAATTCAGTTTGGGACATATGCTTACATTTCAGAGATTCTAATGAACAATCTTAAAATAGGTGGTGAAGGGAAAGTTTTGTACTTTAGAGCAGCAGTCCCCAATCTGAGAATAATGTCCATTTAGATTGTACCTAAATCATAAACAGCTGAAAGCAGATCAGTCTTGTCCAGGGAAGGAACATAAACTCAGGATAGAAGATTTTACTTAAGGCTTTTTGAATGAATATATAATATTTGAAAGTGAATGCCATACTCTCTCCAAAATCTTCCCTGTTGTTTGCACTCCTCTTCCCTGCAATTACGAGATTTATGTTGCCTTGTGTCAACAATGGCAAGATTTCAAGTGCCAATACTTCCATTGCCTTCAGAAAAAGAATATGTTCTGCTATTGATGCAAGAAAATTTGGAGGAAGTTACATACAATAGTACAAACTGCTAATTCTCCAGGGAGCTATTCTTATTCCTTGACTATGGGAGATCAGATTTTAAAAAATCATCATGATGCAAGCATCTTCACTTGGCATTTAGAATAATGAATGTTTCACTTTTGGAGAACAGATGAAAAGAAATATGTCTGCCTCATTTTTCATAGCTTTGTTGTGCAAGCATAGATCAGCAAGAGGCAACCAAATAACGTTTAATCTTCTGTTGTCTGTTTTTACAGTTTATCATCTAATAGTTTCATTGTCCTTTCCACTGCAGACCTAATCTGATTATTTGGATTGGCTGCTAGATCTTGCTCTTTTTGTATATTGAACAAACTTTGTGCATATATTATAATCATTCTTTTTTTTCAAAATGTAATTCATATGTTGAAAATTAACACAATAGAAGTTTTTTTTAATGTTTTTGTTAACATACCAAAACTTCTATGAGGCTTCCCCCCCCCCCAGCAAGAAGTACAAAATAAAACTTTGTTTTTAATTCACATTGGGAGCATTCAATCCAATAGCTGAATTCTGCATTACCAAAAGATTTTCCTTGCTTCAGTGAGAAGCATGGGAAACAGAGGAGTTACTGTAATGGCTTTGGATTGAATTGCAAGGAAGAAAACTAGCCAAGCAGGATGTTCATATTTAATCTTTTTAGTCATTTATATTTAATCTCTTGTAGCCATTGTGCAATACTGACCAAAATGCATGTCCCAGCCCATTTTCCATTGCTTCTTAGATTTCTTAATCCCTTCTTGAGTTCTGTGGAAGTTTCAAATATTTTGATCAGAAGTTAGCTGATTCCTTTTGGGAAAGTAGAACAGGCAGCTAAATTCTATGTTTCCATAACTATATGCACATATTATTATGAAAGGATTATATTATAAGAGAATAGGATATTCCCAAATAAAACATTTATAGCATTTTCATCAAGGTACCTTCATACAAAGTCCTTCATGCTGATGAGTGAATATAACATTTTTTCTGCAAAAAAATTAAAATAACGTCTTTTCCCATAACTATGTGATTATCCTTCACAGCTGAGCACAATTCTGAGAACAGCTTTAGCTGCTTTAAAGAATGACAGTAAGATGATAATTCCTTTTTGGATGTATTAAGAACCTCCTTTTTAAAATAATATCTGAAGTATTGTATTATCCCAAAATGAATCTTCCTTTTCTAAGTCTTTTTATTCTCTCTTCCTGAGTCTTCTTTTTCTTGAGGTAGGAAAAAAGCAAAGTCTTTTGATCAATAGTCCTCAGAGCAATCTATTTGGACGCATCCTGAATTTTTACAAATAACATTAAAATAGAACTGTTTGCCTTGCGGAACCCAACTGGAATTATTTTTTTATGCAAAATGCAATAGCTTTTTAAAATAGCAGAATTAGAAATTAAACACTGGCAAGAAGATTTTAATTTTGTATTGGAATTTGGTGGGACAAGCAACTCTCACATGATCACTTGTTTTTTAAAAAATGTGCTAAAAGAATGCCTTGAATTGTCAGGGAAGCCATATGATCAAGAAGACTCTTCTACTTGGCTATGATATAACTTTTTACCAGGTTTGTCAGCTTCCAAGTTTTGGTATGACCTTTCAAACAAAGAAGAAAATAAGTTCTAGAAAAAATCTGATTGAAGTTAGAAACTTAGTTTCTTTTGGTCTCCTTACTTCAGATTTGTTTCATTAATAAGAAAAAAAGCTTTCTATTAATAATATGGTGCTATTAAACTGAAATGATGCTTCCCAAGAATCTGAGAAAGGCAGATGTTGTTTAATTATATCAAAGATATTGTCACAGGATATAAGTTGTTACAGGTAAAGCTGCTTTTTGCAATTGATCAATGATGATTTTGTCAATGCTGATAGTGTTCAAGTGGTGCTCCAAATGTTTAGGATTGTAGGTAAGGCACCTATTACTGTTGGGACTATCTATGTTTTGTTTTGCCACAGTCGTTCTATTTTGCACATCTTTATATTTTACGTTTTTCTTCAGTTCTTTTTCTCTGATATTGCAGTGTCCACTATCTACTATCTATAGACTCTTTTGTCTATCTTATCAACAATTGTTATCTGGAATGTTATGTGACAGTTGCCTATCTGTTTGAATTCTAAAGTCCTATAGCATTTATGTTCTTCATTTTCTATTACTTTGTCTATTTTGTGATCCCACCAGGCAAGTGGTATTTCTTGTAGATAGTCCCATGCACTATTGTTGCTACTTTGTTCATGTCATGAATTGTAATCAGTCTGTATGATCTTTTTGCAGCAGCTAACTAGGTTTCTTCAGCTTCTTCCCAAGAACCTAGCATGTCATAATGTATCGATATAGTATATGGATCCAAACAATGTGGCTTTTTGTAATTGACAGATGGAAGTTTTGATATTGTACCAAGTATGGACCACTAAAGCCAGTTTATGCAATCTTTCATCTTCGATTTTTAGATCTTAATACTTTGTGATATTTGTGGTTATTATTATTTTATCACTGTATTTTCTTTTCTGTTTCTTTTCCAGTATGTTCACATGAATATATAACAGCCTCTGGTGTGCTAACATCACCAAATTATCCAAACAACTATCCAGATAAAACGGTATGCGTATACAAGATCCATGTGTCAAACAACAAACAAATTGCTTTGCATTTCACCAATTTCTCTTTGGAGAAAGGAGCCATGTGTCTTCAGGATTATCTAGAAATTAGGCAAGTTGATTTCCATTTGACCATATTTATACCTCTGAACAGTTAACCACTTCACTTCATGGAACTGTAAGCCACGAGCAAATGTACAGTACTATAATTGTATTTGAAATTGTTTTATGCTCTGATTTTTTTTACCCTATATCCTACTGAAACCTGGAACTATCTTCTGGTTGTCTAGAACAGGTATGTAAAAGAATTTAACTAACGAAAGGATTAGGAACATTCTTCCTCAAAGGAATACATAAGATCAAAATACAACAAATTTGTGAAGCTCAACTGATTTCTTCAAAACAAACCCACAGAAGAGCTAGGAATTGCATTTAATTTTTTTTAATAGAGAAAGGTCCTCCCCAGCTGTATTTAATCTTTTAAAAATCCAGTGTATTTACAATAGTATTAGGCTGTTTGCATAGCAGTCTTCCTTTCCTCAACTGTCTGTTTAATACCATCACACTTCATGCTACATTGTCTAACTGCCCTTGCTAAGAGCTATATATAAATTATATTATACAACAGACTTCCTATTCCCATCCCTAACAATCAGCCAACATTCTCTATTTCAGCCAACATTCTCTCTTCTTTCTACATTGATAGATCAACTATTTTTTACTGACAGAAATTTTAGTAATAGGGAACTCAAATTTCTGAGAGAATGAGTGAGTGTTGCCTTTGAGTCAATTTGACTCATTAAACATCATCTTTCCAGTCTTGATGTCAGCAGAAATTCCACAGAAGCTTGCCATAAGTAATATATCTTGTTTTAACCTTGATCAAATAAACCAACTTTATATTTCTTTCTTTTACTTTTAAACATTCTTAAATTTGTTAAGTATTGTGTAAGCAACTCCTTTATTTGTCTTTCCTCAGTCAGCACATAGGGCTGCATCTGGGTAATAGAATAAATATTCCTTTGGATATATTCAGATTCCTTTTTCAATCCAATATGTCTAATCTGGCGCCCTTGTGTGTCTAATCACACTTGGCCAAATAAAACATTCTATTCTAAATAGTTGACTGGAGTTTATAGAAATGGTATTCCATAAAATTAGAGGTTAAAGAAGACTGTTGTTCTACTAAATAATCTTAGCTATATTTAGTGAGAAAAGCATAGTAGAATATGCTTTTGGGGAAATATTTCTAGTACTACAGTATAAATTGTTTTAACTTTTTTCTGCTTTTATTTAATTGTCAGTGAGTTTTTAAATTTAAAAGTGTTGATGCTTTGTAAGTATAGTCTTATTGGAGATTCAAGTCTAATTATTTTTCCCTTTATTTTTACCTATTTATTTTTGATTGAAGAGATGGAGGGTATGAAACATCTCCTTTGCTTGGGAAGTATTGTGGCTCCTTGTTGCCTCCTGTTACCATTTCCCATAGTAATAATCTGTGGATAAAGTTTGTGAGTGATATATATTTAACAAGCACTGGCTTCTCAGCTTATTGGGATGGAACATCAACAGGTACAATCAAAATATCAAATGTATCAGGTTATTTCTCTAGCAATTAGCAAGAAGAGAAGATAATGGATTTCTTTCATTTTCCTTGATTTCTTTCACTTTTTTTATCATTACCAACACCACTCACTTTAACTTTTAAACCTGGCCTATTGAGATCTATGGGAAATCTCTTTTCCTGATATGGAAAAGAAACGGCATTTTCAGAAGTAAACTCACAATGATGGAATACTATTTTAAGAGGATTTCAGCAGTGTATTATCCTATACAGGTTAAAAATTGTGACACAAATTAAGGCAGAAGAAAATATTCCATTCTTGGACTGCATTTTTAAATTTCTCTCTTTGCATAATGCCATTGTCACCATTTGAAAAATATAATTGCTGTACATTTAGATTCTACATATCTTCAAAAGGTTGCTTTGTTGGAGTTTCAGATAAAGTTGCTCAAGACAATTCTATGATGTATAGCATTGGCCCATTTCTAATTAGCCAAATGGAATTGTTGAGTTGCTTGGCTCAGGAAGAGTAGCTTATATATATGTACATAAACTTTAGTTTATCAAGCAGGATACCATCAAAACAGCCTAACCTTGTCTCAAGGCTCTTTGAAGACCAAATGATTTTCCTTCATGAGACAAAGTGTTTTGATGAAATAGGCTATGGTATCTGGATTCTTCTATTATATGCTATATGCTTGATAGTTTATGGCTTTAGGACCACATCAATCATATTTACCAGTTGGACGGTATATATAAATGAACAGATAATAATTTATGACATATTTTTTATTATGGGAAGGTTTCCTGAATGAAAGAACTACATGATTGACAGGCAGATATCTAGAAGTACAGACATATTTACATCCTTACATTTCTCTCTATAAATATCTATATGGATAATAAGAAAAATTATGTATTTTGACCTTTAGTTGGAATTTCATTTCTACAATTTCAGAAATGGATGGTAAGAGGTTATCAATATACTGAAAGTTATAAGAAGTATGGCCTTAATCCAAAAAGTAATTATTACTAATTCCATTCAAAATTTCACTAAAAGTAAATAGATATTACATAATGCTAGGGAAAAAAATAGAGTTGGCCAATTGTCATTGAATTGGAATTTTCTACTTATTTTCAGGTTGTGGTGGAATCCTTACAACTTCTTCTGGAATATTCATGTCTCCCAACTACCCTATGCCCTATTATGAAAATGCAGAATGTTATTGGCTGCTGAAATCAAGTCATGGAAGTGTGTTTGAACTCTATTTTGATCAGTTCCATCTAGAGGCTCATTCATCCTGTTACTTTGATTATCTTGCTGTAAGTTTTATTTTCTCTGAGGAAGGATGCCAATAGCTAATAATAATAGCTGAAACATTGACTAAGGAAATGAGATATAAAAAAAGGATAGCATTTGGATAATATTTATCTAAAGATCAATTTATGCAACATAAATTTTCCACTGTGGAAGTAATCTCAGATCTATATATCCAGATAAAAAGAGTATTACCCACATCTGCCCTGGAGAGGTCCAGAAGGAATAAGGGTCTAACTGGCCTGCATTTACAGCCATTTGTAGTGCCCTGCAAGTCATGTGACAATTTATGATGTTTTTCCAGTTTCAGGCAAAAGCTACCCAGTAGCGAACAATGTATTTGCTTAATGAAGGTCATAAAATCAGGCATGGTCACATGGTGACCCAATTTACAACCATCATAAATTCTGATCGAAATTCTGAGCTCAGCTATGATCATAAGTCCGAGACTACATATATAGCACTTCAGTTTCATCTCAATCTTGCTAGAAAAATGCAAAAATTAAATTCCTTTCAATTATTTCCAAGCTATTAGATTTATGAATTGCTAAATTCTTGGGAACATGGGATTATAAAAGTGCCCATAACCTTGTCAGCTTGAACTTTTGAACTGTTTTGTTGCTATCAGTGATTGGGCTGTTAATAATGTAAGATGTAGGATAGGAAAAAGGCTGTCTTTTGGCATGGGGAAAATCTGCTCTCTTATCAAAACTGTCTTTTCAATCTTAACCTTTTTCCTAGAATGAAGTTAAGATTTTCCTTGGAGCAAGGAAGTGATACATAGCATATATGATCTATCATGTAGAGCTGTGGTAGCGCAGTATTTAGAATGCAGTATTGCAGGCTAAATCTGCTCACACTGTCAGGAGTTTGATTCCTTTGATCCAAACCGACTCATCCAGCCCATTCATGATTAGGCAACATTCAAGAGTACTGATTGCTGGCTGATAACAGCCTAAATCATATTTCCAAGAAAACTGCATGGACATAACCAGAAACAGACTTCAACCCAAAGAAAACTTTGTTTGCTACATATTAATAATTTTTAAAAATTATATATCTCAATAACTGCAGGTGTATGATGGCAACAGTAGCAACAGTAACATGTTAGGCAAGTTTTGTGGTAATCAGATCCCGCCCACATTACGTTCTACTAGCAATAATATGTACATAAAACTAAGGACAGACGGGTCTTTAAACAAAAGAGGTTTCCTTGCTCATTTTAAGCAAGGTAAGTTGAAATATTTTAATTAAGTCCTACCAGCTCAAATATATTTGCAGCATTTTTGAATGAACATATAGAACCTTTTTAAGTGTGGATTTACAGTTAGGATAATAGAAAAGGCAACTGTAATCTTGAATCGAAAAGATAAAGGAGACCTGGCTGATCTAATTATTGTCTCATCTTTCTATTAGAAATTCAGACAATCTAGATTTTTTAATTGCGATGTTATCATTGTAATAATGTGTGTTCATGTGTGTGTGTGTGTGTGTGTGTGCACGCATATACACATGTGTTCAAATTCCTGACAATTTGGCGGAAATAGTTTGCCACTGCTTTTTCCCCAGATTTAGAGAATCAGTGGCCCAAAGTCCCCTAGGTTTATGTACCTAAGGCAGGACTAGAATTTAATAGTGCCTTTAAGTGCTACTTCAAACTCTCCCTTATTGCGTTAAAATGCTTGCAACACAGGAGATCCAATGATTTACTAATTATACTGTGCTTGAAAAAAAATATCTCTAAATTATCCAGAATTATTCAGTCTCCTAGTTACCACCTTATGTGTATCTATTCTTTTATTTTCAATCACACATTATTTCAGTATATTTATTCAAATCATAAAGTCCCTTACTATTTATCAGAAAACCTTTCATCATTTCAGATAGTTACATTCACAAACTTGTCTTTCCAAAATGATATTTATTTAAAGCATGGAAAATGAAAAAGAATTTGTTGGAGATGATTAGTAGGTGGGATTTTTATCTAAAAATGTTTCTGATCCTTTTTTGAACGTCATTCTTACATTAAAAGTTTATTTGCCTTCTCAAGATTTATTTTGGATTTTAGAATTCTGTATGTACTTTATTTTAAAATTAAAATCTGTATCCCTTTTTGTAAGGTCATCATATAAAGACCAGAATACTTATTGAACTTACTGATACCAATAGATTCTTTACATTCTTACATTTTTAATTTTTTTCTTCCAAGCTTGCCAGGGAATAGTAATTGCCAATCATTCCCAAGGCATTTTGGAGACTTTGGATTATCCTGACAACTACCCTCCAGGTGTATATTGCAATTGGACCATCCAAACTACAACTGGTAACACCCTGAACTACAGCTTTCAAGCATTTAGCATAAAAGGGGGTGACAGATGTGAACGTGATCATTTAAAGGTATGAAACGCAAATGTTATCCTATATTTTGAAATATAGTATTAAATATATCACTCCTAATAGAGGGAATGTCTGTAGCACTCCTTTCTATTCCTTCCAAGCCTGAAAACATTACTCTTTCATTATCTGTTCTAATCAGATGTTAACCATTTCATAATTTCTAGTTTCCCAGTTTATAGGTGTTTGAAGTATCAGAAAGAGTGTGACACTCTCAGTCACACAGTGGCAAGTCAGTGGCAAGCACGGAACTATTTCTTTGCAACTCTTTTTAAGGCCTAAGTTGATTGTGGATAACTGTTGAAACAACAACATTCTTATTAAATGTTAACCCAGATCAGAACTTTCAGCAATAAATCTTCCTTGGTCCTTAAAATTCCAAAGTCCATATCTGCTTGTATATCTTTCATTCACTATTAATAATTTATTTCTACTTAAGTCCCTCAAAGATTAGGAACAATCAGACTAGTATACCATTTAATATTAAAATTTATTGCTTTTTATAATACTTAAAAATACTTGAATCACTGAGATATTATAGTCTTCTGAGTTTATTGTACATATTTTCACAGCTTTTTCGTAAACCAAAACTTTTTACAGTTTAATGGATATGCTATGAAACATGCTCCCCTTTTATTTGGTTTAGGGAATTTTTAGAGGTATTTTAGAGGTACTTCTTTTTACTTAAATATCCTGATAAAAGTCAAGTGTTTAGCATTTTTTGACAAATTTTGATGATTAAATGCTTCCAGATATTACAAAAATGGTACTGGGAGTAGCCTATAGTTTATTTAAGTACTAACTACCCACCACTTACTCTTGTAAAAAAATAAGCTGTTAATCTCTATCTCTATTGTGACTTGTTATAATATGGAACAGAAAAGGCAAAGTTGCCTGAAATTAATTTTATCATTCTTTCACAAATATTATTTTAAAAGATGTTTTCAAAAGCATTTTAAAAACAAGAGGTTTGATAATAAAATTTGGCTAGTAAAAGGGTAATTGCAGATTAAATCTGTATTGGCTCCCTACAAATTGAAACATCCTTCAGAAGGTCTGCTTTTTCAAGGCTTCCCAATAATGTTCTTTTATTGAACATATAGCACCCCCTCCTTGTTACACAGCATCAGCTTCTGCATCTGATCCTTAAATAGTTAAGCATCAGGCCATCTGAAGCAGAAGTAAAACCACAATAGTAATCTACAGGATGCAAGAAGAAATACTCTCTAATTATAATAAGCCTCAAATGACTAACAGACTGTTTTTCCATGGTGCCACCAAAGAGATGGGGGAGGGGTTTCAGACAACTAAATCCCAAAATGAATGACTAATAACTTATTTTTAGTTGTATACATGTTTCTCAGCTCACACACCCCATCATTTCAAAGCAATGTGCCTTTTACCTCTATTGCAAGAAAACAATTACAGTCCTGCAACTGTAATTTGTATTGCTCTGTCATAGAAGGGCCAAATCTGGTCCCACTCTCAGATGTATAAATCCCAACTGGTGGCCAGTAATAATGGGAACTATTGCTACATATCTAGAATGCTGCAAGTTGTTTATGCCCAGCTTGCCACAACTCTGTTTTTTCGATGTACACATTTGACTCTTGGAGTGAGTTCTCATCAAAGGAGAAACAACGTTAACCATGTTTAATGATTAGGAATTGGGGGGAAAGTTTTAATCTGCTTCTCCAAGTAACTCCAATGCAAGGAGAGATAAGGAGAAGTAAAGGAACATTTAATAGATAACTGGCATGCTTTTGAATGATTTTGTATCTATACGGATGGATGGATGGATGGATGGATGGATGGATGGATGGATGGATATGATCTATACTCATCTTTTCATTATCCATCCATATCCATCCATCTTTTTATGTTGATGTATTCCCATTGTGTTCTTTATTTTATTGTTCTATTATTTTACTTCTATTTACATTTCTTCTTTTTTATTGCTCTAAGCCCCCAAAAATAGCCCGATGGAGAAATAGACAACAAATAAATTTAATAATAATAATAATAATAATAATAATAATAATAATAATAGTAGTAGTAGTAGTAGTAGTAGTAGTAGTAATAGTAGTAGTAAAGTTGGAAGGGACCTTGGAGGTCATCTAGTCCAATCCCCTGCTCAGGCAGGTAACCCTATACCATTTCGGACAAATGGCTGTCCAGTCTGTTCTTAAAAACTTCCAGTGTTGGAGCATTCACCGCTTCTGGAGGCAGGTTGTTCCACTGGTTAATTGTTCTCACTGTCAGGAAGTTTCTCCTTAGTTCTAGGTTGCTTCTCTCCTTGATTAGTTTCCATCCATTGCTTCTTGTCCTGCCTTCAGGCGCTTTGGAAAATAGCTTGACTCCCTCTTCTTTGTGGCAGCCCCTGAGATTTAGATTTTAGATTTAGATTTTATTAAATTTATACCCCGCCCTTCTCCCGGAGGACTCAGGGCGGCTTACAGCCAGTTTAAAACAATGATATAATACAATACAAACTTTAAAAAAGATTAAAAATAACTATTTAAATTTGGCCGCTTCTACTAAAAATTTAATTTAAAACCCCTTTAAAATACCCCTAGGCCAGT